CTTATAAATTCAAATATATTTTATGGAAAATATACACAAACAATTATTTCTTGTGCTCGTTTGGTAGGAAATTACGCCTTTATTAAATTTTAAAGAAAAGGCATCCTTTGGTTTAAAAAAAACTTTCTCGGTTGTCGAATAATTTTGAAACCTACTGACTGCCACATTTAAATTCAAGGTTTACAAACTACGCGCTGTGTACATCCTGCTTAAGGAAAAGTGCGTTTTCTCCTACGGTTTGAGGAAGAAGTCACACAGTTCATATAAAAATGTTGCGATAGATGTGGATCATACGGTATGCACTATGAGACAGCATTAATAAATTGACGGATACGATGTATTATGAACGAACGACTCACAATACTAAAAAGCTCATAATTAGAAACTTTTTTAAAACTGAAAGATACCCTTTCTTCAAGTATAAGATTAAATAAAAGCGTAATTTCCTACTAAACGAGTACAAGACATATTTTTCTGTGTACATTTTCCATAAAATATATTTTAATTTATAGAGGCAGTCAAAATCAATGATAAAAATATATACTACTTAAGTAGCCAGTTTCTACTGTACACATGTTTTGTTAGCGGTCTGAACGAAGCTCTTTTTTCAAAAGCCGGCACCCTATCGTAACTGAAAGGACTTCATAATAGAATACCCGATAATCAGTATTACAACCTTACTCAATGCCGATTAACGAGAGCATATCAAGCTTTCGTACATGTCTGCATGTTACACGAATTCTAGGCCATACTGTAGTAAGAGCGAAAGCCAAGATTTATATAAAAAATGGCCTGGGCTTTCAAACGTTGTAAAGTCTTTCATTCTGTATGCTGTACCACAGGAATCAGCGACCTTCGCACTCCCTAGGGCTATCCCAAGATACGAAAAATCGCCAGACCTTGCCTCAACTACCTATATAACCTTATCTAAACGATGTTGCATCTTACAGGAGTCCCTCTTAGGGTCATGGGTAAATGACAACCTTTATCAAACTCTAAATTGGAGTAGATTACACGTTTTTTTCTTTCGTGAAACGGTAACATACAAAACCACCCACTATGAAATCCTCAATAAAATATCCGCTCTTTGGTGAGTTTGCGCTCCAGTCACTACAAAAAGTATTTTTTCGACTGTTCTCGCGGTCTTAGTTGGTTCAACTATGGCAAAAAGGTCGTCCAAGGCTTAAGTAGATCCGCCCACAACTGATAAAGGTACGCCATTTGGGGGCTGCCAACGGCACAGAATTTAGGGCCAACCCGAAGGGTAAACCTCTTGAATATATAGAAGACGATTTCTATGAAGACCTTGCAAGGGCAAGTCGTGACGGTCAATATCATGAAAGAAAACATCAGAAAGCTGCACGTAGGGGGGAAAGTCAACATTATTTATTAACTGTAGAGACTCCTACCTGACAACCTGAGCGCAAGTACCAGCGATCAGTAGAAAAAGAAACCACTCATACAACTGGCTACACTATCTTTTACAATATCCTCAGAGAAAGAATAAAATAGCAGGTACAGGCAGAAGAGGCGGATGCTACAAGATAGCAGAGGTTAAAAGGTACAATCAAAAGCATTCAAGTCGGCGGGGACGAAGAAAAACAGCTTTAAAACACAAATAAAAAGTACAAAGAAGACTTGAATGAAACATAAAGTACACAAATACACTGGTCAGTTTGAAAGCCCAGAAGCAAACGAACAGGACGTCAATCTGAAAATAGTCCAGAATCATAAAAGTAGCGCTAACTGTCTACAGTATTATATAGTGCATGGCGTTGACCGTTGTTTGTCCGGATGGCGAGAGTAGATGGGGGACGGAGGAGGTTAGGAGACTGAGGTGTCATTTGCCGGAGAGAATAACTTTCCGGCTAAACGACGTCTTTCCTCCTCCTTGCATGCTTTCCTCTTAGCGGCTAGGTTGGCCAACTCTCGATCGACAGTGCTCTTCATCTCCGGAGCCAGTGTGACCAATTTCCGAAAGTCACTTTCTGAGAGGTCTAAGTCACCTACAGCTGAATAGGACATTGCACGTCGATA